AAACAATTTAATTTGTTGTAATAATTTGAAATTGTTGATATGTGAAAATGTTTAACAATGAAATAACATGTGTTAAGAAATAAGTACGTAGAGGACAACGCACAAACAATACTAGAATTGTATTCGGCGAGGGTCGTAGATGTCCAACAAAGTAAACGGAATAAATTAGATGCAAATCTTTCAACATTAAACTAGAGGTTACATTCGAAATGTCCGCAATTCCAACATTAATCTGAAAATGGAAATGCTTACTATAATATATACAATCACAAATTGTAATAGATTCATTACAAATGTAACAAGTCCAGCGAACAGTTATTTTGCATATTTGGTTCTGCTTAGCATAATCCAACAATTGTGCGATATTTACAAATTTTATTATATTTATAATGCATTAAAAAATAAAATTTGAGTATTTTTATTAAATTATGCACGAATTAAATGAAATTAATAATTAATTTATAACTTTTTCAAATTTTATGTTTACATAATTTTTATGCTCTAACTATGAATAAAATGAGTTAAGTTTGTTACGAAATATTATAATTTATTATATAATGCAGTCCATCTTTTAGAAAGAACATAAAAAGACAGTGGGTATAGGGAGAGAATCCGGACGTGGGGAGACAATGCAAAAACTTGTGCGCGCTTTAATATTCTAGACAGTTGTTCGTTAATTTATTATTTAAATAGTATAATATTCCCGGGAGGGCGTAAACAGGGCGACACAGAGTCACCTAATATGAATATCGGAGAAGAAGAGGTGCAGAGACACTAGTCCCGGTGGAGTTTTCGAAAAATTCACTAAATTTTACAGACGTCGGGGAATTTCGAAGGAAAATTTAAACACTCTCTGGCTATGAATATTTGAGTCGCGGAATTATAGATTGCAGATAAACGTTTAAAGTTCAGAGGGAGAAAAGAAAAGAAAAACGTCGGGCGAATGCAGCCGACACAAAGGTTCGTTGCTACAGCAATAGAGTGCAGACACTTCTTCTCCCTCTGGAAAACTCCACTTGAATTGAGTCGTCAAAAGCTTGCCAATTCCCAATAAGTTGCGATTCCATTATTCCGGCGTTTTTGTGCGTAGCATTTAGCGCGCGCTGTTAAGTATCAAAACGAAACCGAAGTGAACTTGTCAAGTCATCCTGTTGGTACAAAGCCGGTGGTCTGAGCGAGAGAGGACGAAAGTTGGTCTGAACGAGAGAAGGAGGAAACTGGATTCTGTTAGTCCAGCAAGAAGAGATGAGAGTGAGCAAGCTTGCTCTGTGCTGTTTGCAATGGCGAAGATATCTGGTTCCAAGGTGGAACACATATAGCAGCATCTCGCACGGATATCTCCTCTTCGGTTCCAAGTCCCCTTCGCAATCAGTCGCTGAGATCTCGGGGAGCCGCACCGAGTCCGAGTCAACATTTATTTTACCCACAGTAAAATGTAAATGGCCAGTGGAAACAATAATCGGTCGGGCAATCATCGTGCTGCAATCGAATCAGCCCTATCAAAACATTATTATCACGCGTCGCCCAATTGAAATTCAAACGTGCGAATTCGGGCGCCGCACAATTGGATCCAGAGTACAGGGTCTATAGCGTAGCATTGGATTGGCATATAGTATAGTACAGAGAGCACTCCATCCATCCGTATTAAGCAATTGAATGGCCGAAACGGACATGAGCCTGCAACAGAGCATGGATGGGTGAAAGGGAACGAATCGAAGAAGACACAAGGTGGCCAGCCATCGGACTTCACGGCATCTTCGGACTAGGAGGAATGCCAGCAACGGCCTTGCAACTTAACGTTCAGACTATCCTTGTCTTTCCACAGGCATCGTCTTTCGCTACTTCTTCTTTTTTCCTCCTCCTCCTCCTCCTGCAGCTCTTTCTTCTTCGCGTTGTTGTTCTCCTCCTCTACCTCTTCTTCGCCGCCGTCTCTTCTTCTCTTTCTGATCCTCGAAGCCGGCCGCATCAAATGAGCAGAGCGGAGAGAGTTGAATGGCCGACTGTGACCGACCATTTTGTTTCATGAATAACGAATAAACAATATTTTTATTGCCTAATATCGGGACACGGATTACACATTCTTCTGCGCTGCGTTTTAATATAGCCCGATTAATAGTAATAAATAACGAGAGAAAAGGAACGACGCACCATCAACTGTCGGGTGGACGAAATTCCAGTTAGGTAGACCACATCAATTTATCGGTGCCGTCATTTTATTGTCTCGCCGTTTCAGTTTAAAGCTTTGCAGCGCGATAAGGATTAATAAAGCACGGTGTACGTGACTGCGAGCCAACTTGGACGGTTTCGATTGTGGGGGAGCTTGAAAACCCCAATCGGCTTAGGGTGTGTTGAGGAGGGCGCCGATAGACCGTCGGCAAACTGAATTCTTCTACAAGCGAAGACCACTTGAGGAAAGACACTCACCATCCAATCCTCAGCAAAAATAAAATATAAATGTAGCTTCGGGGGGTTGCTGTAATCGTCCTTCACCATCGGACGATTACCCGAAAACTCTTTCCGGCAATCGGAGTATTTGGGAGAACGATTTTTCGCCAGAGTTTTGTCATCCTAAGTAGTGCTGGCAGATAACAGATTTCGTGTATGAAAATGATCATGTCTGAGTGTGAGATAAAACGGAACGAATGCGAGAGGTGAAAAGAAGAAGAATACGAGAGAAGAAGTGAAGAAAAAGGAGCAACGAAGAAAGGAGAGATAAATATAAGTAGGCGTAGAAGCCAGTAAATGAGATTCGTTAAAACAAAACTCTGAAATACACAAGCCATCAACTTCAGTGATCTACAGCATTAATACGGTCCATCCTTTCAGTCCATATCCATTAATATAGGTACTGCTATCAATTTTAAATGTACGCACACATTAAATACAAAACTCGAAATTTTAATCTGTTTTTGATACCTGTATATGATTCGAACAAGCGAACAGCATTACGCTATCTCGGGGTCCATTAATTCAAAAGCAAGGTAAGCGTCATCGTTCCCGAGGCGAGTCTGCCAAAACACGTCTCTGGAAGGCGCTCAGAACGAACCACATGTGTGCTACCGGCAGTCCTCCTCTCCTTCTGAATCTTCCGACCCGTCCGGACGACTACTATCCTCTTCTGCTCCTCCTCACTCGCAACAAAAACATCCAACACCCAACCAACATCAGCATCGGCCTGTCCTAATTGCATTACCTCTCGCCGTATTACTTATGCCTAGGCAACGAATGTATATGTACATGTGTATAACAGAGATAGATTGAGTGAGCGAGAGTGTTAGAGAGAGAGGCGAGACAACAGCCCTCCTCGGCCATTAGATCTCGCAGCCTGCCTGCTCTTTAGTCCCAGGTGCCCCGCAATAATTTAGGGTATGCGAAATGTGCAAAAACCCGGCTCGGACAAAATAAACCCCTAAGTATGCAAGGGTTGTTGGCCGACGACATATGCGCGCCCAGCGAATGATTACGCAATTAGCCTCACGACGTCGCTCCCTATGCAGAAGTGAGCGCAAAAGTGGCCGTCGCATAAATCGCACGACAATTTGTGCACTTGGATGTACGTACACGTATGTACATATTTTCCATCCTCTTTAAAAATACTCGATCTGAAGGAGCGAACGCTGAGAAGTGCTTAAATGGGATGAGGGAGGAGAGCGCAGCGCGCCGGCCCATCGTAATTCATCCAGCTTCTCGACAATATTTAAACCCGACCTTTCAAGAACCATCACCGAAATGATACATGCACTCGCGACTCGCAGCAACATTCAAAAATAGATCCTCTCTATCTACGCATCTCCAACTAACAATGAACTCCTCTTATTTCATTATTTTATTTTTCCTCCTTTCTTTCCCTCCGCTGATAACTATCGGCGGTAATCGTGCAAACATATAGTCTTTGTCTGAGAGAATACTTTATTTATTTTATTTATAGCAATTCTTCTCCGTCATCCTCCGACAGTTTTTTTTTTGTTCTCTCTTGATATTCTTATTCTCCCTCCGCAAAAGATCATTATGCAACTTATGTATTTAAGTTGAGCCAAAAATAAATCTTCGACGCGCTCATTATCAGAAGAGGGCAGAGAAGAATAAAATGAACAGCGAAGGAAGTGGAGGGGTGAGGTTTACAAAATGGAAATGTATGAGAGAATGTCAGAGAGGAAGAATTAAAAGAAAAGAAAATAATATAAGTAATGCGTCTGCTACGAAGTGGGGCTCATTTCAATATTTCCCAACCGTTGTACCTGCTAATGAAACAATGGCAATTAAGAGAGTTGGAACTTAATCTAGAATTCAATGCGCTTCACGTGTTTAATATTCCCGCATATTAATTTCGTAATTCAATCGTGGAGGTGTCCCCGGATGCCGGGCATGTAAAGGTACACCATAGGGGCCTTCCTAGGGCTTCTTCCTTCAGCATCGGAGGCCACGAAACAGCTACGCTGAGGCCATCTACCCAACTACCAGCAACTTATTAAAAACGAACGCACAAAAAAAAATACCCTTCGAATTCTGATGAATTCAACGTAACCAAGCTCCAAGTATAAAATCCCTCCAGGTTTACGTTACGCTACGCTTACGGATTAAGCTCCCACTGAATTCGAAATCAAATAGAGCCTTTAAATTGCCGCATTTGCATTCGCAATCATTTCCGAGCAAAATAATTAATTAACATACATTTGCATACATCGGGTGATTGTTCATAACGAGAAATGAAGTACATGCATTCTTCTTTTTCTTAACGCTGCTTTTCTTTTGAAACGCTGCGGTGCGACGCGTCCCTCTTACCGTCGGCCGCCATATTCGCAACAAAGCTTAACTTAACTGTTACTTTAATGATATGGCTTAGCGAGTATCTTCAGATTGTTCCGTTCGCACCGAAGCCAAATAAACTAGTTGAGGGTACGAACGAGTCGGAGTGGATAGATAGATACCAGGCGAGCAGAGGGGATACGGTCATCAAGGCGGCATGCGGAAATTGTATCAAATATTGTTATGGTACATACCTCGAGTCGGATGCTTAACTTAGCAGTATATCACACACACACGCTGTGCATAGCGTATTAAATTAAGAAGCACTCTGGGATTCACTGCACTATGAGAACACTTAGAACATGTTTCAATGGAATGCATTTAGAACACAGGATATAGATTCGGAACTTCCTCTAATCATCATCGGCGCGAGCAATATTTGTCCTAGTTACGATGATTGCTTTCCGACCACTTGTCACTTTAAAACTTTTTAAACTATAAATTCTAAATATTTGAAGTGTCCTTTAAGATAAATGTCTGAAAGATAGAAAACTTTTGCGGAACTCGAGATTGAAAAAATTCGTAACTTCTTCAGCCGCACAATTCTAAACGAACAAGCATCGGAATGCGCACTTTGTATGGAGGGTCTTAAGAATCACATCGAAACTGACCGGAAAAGTTCATCGGTATTGTGACCGCAGTAATAATATAGGTAGGTGTCCCTTAGAGAAATTTTACGAACAAGAGAACTTGCGATGCGCGCTCGAGGAAGAGCTGTGGGTCGACTATGTCCTGACGTGACCGGAGTTCGAATGTCGAAAGCTGGTGAAGTCGCGGCGGCGCGCGTCTGCAACGCTGCTCACTGCGTCACTGGCTCAACTGAAGTGCAGTCCTGAAGCTCGAACAGAATCCTGATGCGAATAAGAACGACTATTACCGAACATTCGCGGCACAAAACTGAATTAAACCCTGGCTTTTCTACTTACATTCTATGTAGACTTGGTCCAAGTACGAAGATGGTATGACCTGGTACAAATGTGGTCTTTGGAGTTAATGCAGTACCAGGAAAACATCAAATACCGGTATTTTCATGTTTAAAAACCTGCTAATAGTGCTTACGTACCACAGTTTTCAATTATAGAACTATCCTAAAAAAAATAGATATATTAAATTTCAATTTACTTACATTAAACAATTTACTACATTAATGTATGTTTTGTTGCGTACACACTATGGCTGATATAAGACGTAAATATTATTTACGTATTGCGATGTGTTTACAATTCTCTTAACTGAAGGAACTGAATGTAATTGACACAAATTTATTTAAATTGGTACATATGGAAGTACTTGTGAAATGTAGCTGTCAGTTTATAAAAGACTAAATCTCTTAATTGTAGTTGGTACCTTTTGATAAATATTTATGTAACAGTTTAGGTATAGTGTGGATGCACCATTATATGAGCCGTTATTTTATAAAAGAGATATTTAAGGGTTTGCGGTGATGTTAAATTTATGATTATACATATAAAAAGATGAAATTATCATTAACTCATGTTTAAAAAAAAACAGCTCATATACAATTTTGTATTGTTTAACAATTTTAATAAATTATTTACTGTTGTTTTCATTGTTTTAGCTTGTTGTTAAATATGATAATTAAAAATTTAATTATACTGCTATCTTGTTAGCAACAAGAAATGTTATTTATGAACATTAAAAACATGTGTTATGTATGTGTGTGTATTAGCGTAACGGATGTTGAAGTTTGCAAGCAAGGCAAGGCAAGCAGCGTGTCCAAGGGCCGACAGAAGAGCAACGCGCCTTTGTGCTCCACTCCTGTCTTAATTAAAAAGCAGAACCTTTCCCCTCGCGGCTAATCGTCGGCCACGGCTTCTTTCGGAGTGCACGGAAACGGAAAACGCGTCGCGACGCCGAGGTGTCTGCCGGAAAGCCCCGCAGCAGCGTCCCGGCGCATTTTTACAAATTAAATTTAGAGGATTAGCCGGCTGAGCTGGCTGCGGAATTTATCTACGAGTTCAACGCGTCGCCGGACAATGGATGAAGAAGCCATTGAAAGTGATGCAAGGAAAATTGGAGATCGCATCTCCTTAATTAAGTTAAGACCAGTGGTCGGGTGTTTGTTGCCAACTGGTCTCCGCATCAGCATCCATGTTGGAAAGGGTGGATTTTGAATGCTTCCCATTCATTCAGAAAGGGGGTGCTAATTTATAAATACATAACCATTCCGCCTAAGTGCCAAACCGAAAACGTCCCGGACATCCTCCTCATCCCATCCCAAAAACCATCCCTTTCTCTCGGACATCATCAATCACACACACACACACACAATCCTCGCAGCATCTTGCAATTTATAGTCGCCCGTGTGATTAACTCAAGTAGATCCGTATATAAAAAGCGTTTTAATAACACCCAACCCCCGCGTATATAAACAACGCTAAATTGGAAAAGTTTTCCTGCAAATTCTCATAAAGTGTTCATACGGGGAGGTTTGCGGCTTTCCCAGCGACCGAACGAAGAAGCTCTGGCACTTCTCCACCCAGAAACCCAGAAAGTAGACTTCATTCTCAAAACCCTAATCTACTTGCATGTCCGCTATGAAATTATAATCGAAATCCGCACAATCAATTCATAATTAAAACAGAATTTCATTAGCAGGACTTCAATTCAACAAAACTTTTGCGCCCGGATTAAAGCGTTCTTAAGCCATCTTAACATCTGTGGCAGCAATAAAACAGTGAAAATGAAAAAAGAAAAGAAAATCCACCACCGAAACCTAATTCATATGCAAAATAGGTCGCGGCGATATACCAGGAAACACCTAAATACCAGGACATTATACTTCTCAGCCGCGGCTTCGTCTTCAGAAACACACACGTATTAAAGAATACAAGGAAAGAAAAAGAAGAAGAATGATGGATGCACCGATCCGAAATAGACGTAGAATCCACGACGCGATCGTATTTACAAGAATACATACACAAGTATACATGAACTGTTAAAACCACTTTATGTTACAAATAAATTTAATCTGACGTTTATATGTTTTTATTACTTTAACATGTCATAAAGTATCGTTTCAAAATCGATAGGCGAGCATAAAATCTACAACAGTATCTACGCCAACGTGGCAAACATCTGCATGCTTATACTCACATATATATAAAGTATATATATATATATAAAAACACAGAGAGAGAGTAGGGATGAGGTTGGAATCGGGATTGGGAATCGTCGACGGGGTGTCAGGCTATTGGGCTTTTCGGGATCTTCGGGCCACTAATATTCTCCAGGGCCGCTCGCATATATAGACTTCAAACTGTATCCACACTTTTCTTTACAGCCAGGATATTTCCATTCCGGAGCCCGCAAATGATCAATACAATAAGAATGAGAATAAGGGTAGATCAAACTCGCCCTTCCTTCCCGTAGGAGAGGACTGCTATAGGAAAGAAGAGAAAAAAAAATATGTATATATATATATATATTATATGCGCACTCTAAGGAGAAGAAGACGACGCTCAGACGGAGAGGATGAAAAAGGTAGGGAGAGAAGAAGCAAGCAAGAAAAAAAAATATTGGGAAAGTTCCCTCCGCACCGGATGATAGGAAAAAGAAAATAGTAATAATAATAGCCGTGGTGGAGATGCCTTTCCTTTTGCTCCTTTTTTACTCAATTTTTTTTTTTACTTCTTCGTTTTCTTTTTTTTTCGTTCGCTTCTTCTCTCGACGCTTCTCGCTGAGAGGCGCTCACTTATTCTGCAAGTCTGATGCCAATTATATTACAAATTGTCGGGACCGGGGCTAAACTCTGCTGAGGAGACTTCGTCCGTGTCGAATCTGGAATCGACGTGTCCCCAAAGCGCAGGTAAAAAAAATGGCTATTATCATTAACTGTAAACCGACCGTAAAAGTATCTTCCAGGAAGATGAGATATGATCTTTCCTTTAATATTTATTTATTTGTTTCTACAAATACATATATACACTCACTTTTCAAAGATTCCTTCGAGTAGAACTTCGTTTTGTTTTCCATAGCATATTTCAAGTTCTACATGTTAATATTTGAATATTAAATGGTTCCTTAGTTTAGGTTCCAGATCACCGCCTAACAAACCGCAGTGTGTTTCATACTTGTCAGTGCGTATAAAGTCCTAAAAACATATTGACTTTGCTTATTGATAAAATGAAAACCAGTTTTCTAAAGAATTATCAATAAATTTCTATATTTTCAATTTTAACAAATGATTTATTATTATTTTTTTTATTAAACTTCAATTTTTAAATAAAATAACTGAAAGAAAAATATCAAGTTTTTTTTTTTTCTAAATTATTAATAAATTTCATATTGTAAATATCTAATTATTTAATATTTTTCAATTTTCTTTATTTACACTTCTTTTTAACATTAATTTCATTATAGAATTACTGAATTTAATTTTTTTTTTCATTTACAACATTTTCTTTGTTATAAAAAAAATAATTGGTTAAGGATTAGGGGTGATAATGAATAATGTATCAGTACAGTTAGATGTAAAAATAACCTTTTTTTTTAGAAATGAAAAAAAAAACAGTTAATTTCAAACAAAGGTACTGTCAAATTGTAATTTAGGAAACTTGTCAGAGAAAAGAAAAATGAAAAACGGTCCCGTTTTTTGTCAGAAAAGTAAATTTATCTTTTCTTAGGGTAAAAAGTCTATTAAACAAAAGGTTCGACTCAAGGACACCGGAAAGTATTCAGTGAACATTTACTAGATTTGGTTATAGGAAAAAAATTTAAAAATAGAAAATGTTTCCACTTCCGTCAAAAAAAAGTTGTTTTTTTCAAGAATTTGTTTTAAATGAACTTGAAATAAATAAGAATATTTATTTAAATAAGGGTGGATATATATATTTTTTTATTGTATGTTAAAATTTATTTATGTGTAAATTGTACTTTTTTTCTTCTCTTATGTATTAATGTTTGGCCAATAAATTATTATTATTTATTAGTTATTTAAATAATTATTATAAAAATGTAAATAAAGATAATACTAATTATTAAAGAAAATAGTGATCGATTCTTATAAGTAATTAAAATAGTATTAGAAGAAATATAACAATAAAAGAATTAAATGGACTTTGAATATTGTAGTAGATTAAAATATATAATAGAGCATCTGATTGTTTCTTGAGTATAATTGGTACTCTAGATGGAAACAATAAAAGCAATCAATGTATTAGCAGCATTAGTTTCGTTCGCTGCAAATGCATTGGAAACGCGTATCAAACGCTGAAAACACTCGAAACTTTACAGCTCCGCGGTTGTCCGAGTCGCAGTAAACATGTTAATGCACAGTTAATTACAAAACCGGGACGTGATTCAAAGTCGATTCATATAATGGAGCGTCGTAATGTGTAGCCGGTTAATCCTCCCGATTCGATTCAATCTTTACGAGAGGAACTGAACCGATTTTCGTTTGCGCGCCGTTAAACCGGTCGATTAACATAAAACGAATATTAAAAAAAAAATGGAAAAAATGGTATTGGCCCGTTTCAAAGACCTCTTCTTATTCATCTTTGCTTCTTTTCCTTTCTTGGCTGCGCTCTTTTATTTTCTTTTCTTTATTTTCTATGAAAAAAATAAGAGCTTTCTTCCACTCCGAGAGTAGTCTTGGGCATTAGATAATAAAAAGGACGGAAACAAAACGAGAAGAGAAAAGAAAGGGATTGAAATTAATAGTTGAGTATTGTAATAAATAGAAATAAGTGTACGGAGTATAATAAAGATTATTTAAATAGCCGGGACTTGGACCCTAAGTTCTTCTCTGTAGGTGGTTCCGTGGACAAGGATGAAGTGGCGTGAGGCCATCCTCGTCCACCCCGTCCTCTCCTCTCCTCCCGCAAGGGGT